GCTGGGGTGTCCATGTCAGTTTAGTGCAGGTCTCCCGTTTTGAATAATTCAAAATAAGCCAGTTTCCCTGTGTTTTGGCCAACTGGATAGGGTAAAATGTTATTTTCAAGCAACAGAGAAGGACTTAATCCCCATTTCTGCATGTGAGTAAATTGTATAACAGAACACATACCAAACTGTATGGTCTGATCATTGTCCTAACCACATTAAGCTTCATGCCTAACTGATATGTTGTGTGTAAGTGGTTGGTTGGTCATATCATGTTGTAACACAGTTCACGTAATAATGTGTCTTAGGTGGGAGATAGCTCAAAACTAGTTGCATGTGCAAAATTTCAAAGACAGATGCGTGAGGAACAGTCATTGTGTGCAGAGAGAGGTAAGTATCTATTGGGAATACATTTTTAGGTAATGAAAATGTTATTGTTTCTTTCTCTTGTATCATCCTGTGAAACAGTTGTTGTGATTATTCTTTACTTTCATTTCAATTATTAATCTGGAAGTAAATTGATCTCTGTTGTGCATTTTTACACTTTGAATGCAACCAGCTAATTTGATTTCCCAGTGCACAAATGCACAGTGAACCAGATAGAAACTAAACTAAAACTTCAGTGCCAATAAAGCATCTACATTAAAATTACTTCATGAACTACTTTCTGAATTTGACAGTTACTTAGAGGAAAATCATAATTGACACAGTGTTTAGATATTTTATTTGCTTAGAATTTAGAAACTGAAATTTACTTTGGCTTTAAAAACAAAAAGAGCACCAATGTAGGTGTACAACAAAAAGAAAATAATGAGATGATCTTGTTTCTTGTTTTGCAGAAACTGACTGTAATATTATTAGTCTCATTAAAAATATAACGAGTTATAAAACCTCATTAATGACAAAGGTAATATTATTATAGTAATGAGCTACTCAAATAACTTGTTACTCCCAATTGATTGAGATTATTTTGGTTTACATTTTTTTGCGAGACTTACCCATTGTAAACAAAGTTATGGATACACAAACAATTTGGTGCATAATTAGTTCACAAAAAGTTTGCTTAAAAAGCCATATATGACTCCCATTGCATTGGTAATTCTAGGGTTAATTTAACACTTTTCTGTGATTGATTATGAAGGACTTCTGATCAAAACTAAGCTAACTATATAGTTCTAAAATTCAGCGTTACAATGATGATTATCATCCTTGCTGATCTTTATGTCCTGAATTACGAGAGTTGTACGATACTTGATTTAAGTTTTGATTAATGTTCCCTGTAGGTAAAGTAGATAAATATTTGAAGATAGTTATTTTCTTCACATCATCTGAAATATTTTCATCAGACTGGTATTTCTCTCTTGATAGTTTTGAACTACTGCATCATTTCTGTGCATTAAAGATGTCAGTAAAAACACATATGGAAAGTGGATCAGTAGACACATGTTTTTATTTTGTTGTTTTAGGAAAAAAAAAACATTTTTCTCTTAAACTATATCTGAATTTAACAGAAAACTAAAATTTATAGTGATCATATAGCAGAATCCTGCTTATTTTATACTTATTTTCAAGAAGATCACTGGCCCAGTTAAAAAAATGTGCTTCTTTTCTTGTGCACTAAGTAATTTGTTGCTTTGCTGAGGAAAAGCAGAAATGCTAGTACCAATAGGTGATTCATCATGAAATACACAAGATCTATCAAACTTTAAATGCCAAGAGTCTGGATTCTGGCAAAAAAAACAACAACAGAAATATTAGAAAATGAAAGTTTGTCATTTTCTTGATTAGAAGACACTATATAGAAATTCAGTGTTATAGCAATGACCATCGTCAGTGATCTTAATGTCAGCCCATAAACTGTAAGACTTTATGTACATTCTTAAGTTTACTTAATGTTTGCCCCTGATAAAGGGTTTCTTATTTTTGTCTTAGATGTGATTCCAATGTTAATTATGGTGTTGGGTTTTCAGTTTTGTGTGTGTATTTGCTCACAGTTGATTGATAAAATGTTTTGAAACATGGAAAGTTTTGTTTCCTGTAGAAATAAGTTAATTTCTATTTTGGAATTTAATTTGCTTGAACCGTTCATTTTTACATATATGCATATATTTACACAGGAGAAAGAAACATCAGTCAAAGTTAGATGAGATATGTGAGAAATATGGTAAGATTTCTTTGCTACTTTCAGGCTTTTTTATTTTAAGCTACATTTTAAAGTGTAATATGGTGAAACATAAATATTAATGGTCTGTTTATTGCTGAATGGCATTTTGAGCTAGTGGTATTTATGTGGAATTGGTTATTTTGAGCCTAATTATACTTCTAGACTTGTTTTTAGAAAGACATCTAACACAGTAGCAAAAATTATTTCATTGTTACTCTATGTATGTACAAAAATCATGTAGTTTCACAGGACTAAAGTATTATGCTAGAAATTCATGTAATTTTAAAGTATATTAATCTCTTGTGGAGAAGGTTATGCTCATTTCCATATGTACATTTATGTAATATTTTTTTCCTTATCTTTATATATGCTGGATAACATTCTTCCACATGTTGTTCTTAGTTGTTTCTTATTTTTCCTTAGTAATATCACGATGTTCTATGAACATCTAAGTTTTTACCTTTTGCACATACAATTTAATTGCTTTTGGAATTTTTATGGTGGGAGTTTCATATATTTGATATATTTAAGTAAATAATCACTATGCAAATATGTTTACTTAAATAGAATTGTTTAATGATAAGTAAAATTTGCTTACTACTAGATTAAACCTTCTTGTTCCTGTATGATTATTAATAATGAAATATTTGACTAATAGAAACAATAAATTCAAATAAAGGTTTGTTATATTGAATCACAACATTTATTTTACAAGGTTCAAAAGGCTTTATCCACCTGTTTCATCTTGATTTAACACAATGACTCTTTATCAGGAAATATTCTCTTAGTCATTTGAAAAAAGGTGGTAATCAAGCTTTAAAGCTGATTTGATTGTAATGAGCTCAAAAGTTTGTTGTATTAAGGACTGTTCTTCTTAAACAGATTGAGATAACATAAAGAGCAGAGAAGTAGTTTCATGATTTCAAATGGTCATCCTCCATCTAGCTGAACTGAAATTTAGAGAAAGATATCAAATTTGGTTGCCAATATCTTTTTCATACATACATGTATCTCGTGAATTAATATGTTATTACACCTAAAGATTAATGCTTTGTAATAAAATGTCAGAAAGATCAAAATTATTTGTTTAAAATGTATAATAAATATGTGCACTCAAAATTACTATATAATAGCTTTTTAGTATTGCATTGTTATTCATTTATTTTGGTATTGAATTTTGTTTCTTTTCATAGGACTAAAAAAAGAAAACCAAGCCTATCAGAGGATTATTTAAAGAAAAACTGACCAAAGAATAATATTTTGTGCTTATATATAGCATGCTGATTTCTATGTACAAGCATTAAGAATGTTGATAGCTTTTGTTTTAATTGAAAGTTAAGTTTATAATTTGGAATACAGCATTTAATGGCATATGCAATCAGATATATTTTGTTTTTTTATTATTAATTTAGGAATTGTGAAATAGATGTTGATTGCTGCTTGTAACTTGATGGCAGAATCATAATATCCAAACACGAAACATTAAAACATATTATTTAAGTATTAAATGACAATTTAATTGAAAGTTTTAATAATTTTTAATAGTTTTTGTAGGTTACTGTAATCAGTTAGTAAATCTTCATCCAATGAAAAATATATAATGTAAAAAATTACTTTTCTGACATGATTTTAATGTTATGTACGTGTTCATGTCCTTAATTTATAAAAAAATAATGTTGTTTCATTAGTAACTTAAGTATATGAAAAATGTAGGTAAAACTATATTATAAATGTTTAATAGTTTGTTACAAAGATTGTTTTTGACACAAGTTGTATGAACAAATTGGGTAACATTTTGTACTAGGGGTAGGATCACTAAACATTGATCTTGGAATTCAATTGTGAAAATAATACTTAGCAAAAGTATTAGTGATAAGGATTTTACAGCTTTTTATAGAGCAAAATATATAGCATAGATGAAGATAGGGCTATATAAAAATCAGTGTGTTAATGAATATTAGCTACATATTAAGAATGTTAGATATCTAGCTCTGCAACTGTAAAAAAGCCTCTTTCAGTATGTGTATATAAGATACTGTATCAAGCTAAAAAATCAGGTAGTCTGTTGGGTTTTAATATTGATTTTACACAAATGGAAAACTTTGTTTTGTATTGGAACACATGATGGAGCTATAAACAACCTTCACAGGACAGAATGCACCAAAAATTTTGATTGTACTTCAGTTATATCTTTCTTCAACTTGTTACTGGTCTATGTGTTTTTTATTTCTCTACTATCTTTCACAATTTGTTTTTAGGGCAATCGACTCGCAATCTGTGGGTCGCGGGTTCGAATCCCCATCCCATCAAACATGTTCGCCCTTTCAGCTGTGGGGGAATTATAATGTGATGGTCAATCCCACTATTCATTGGTAAAAGAGTAACCCAAGAGTTGGCGGTGGATGGTGATGACTCGCTGCCTTCCCTCTAGTCTTACACTGCTAAATTAGGGACAGCTAGTGCAGATAGCCTTTGTGTAGCTTTGCACAAAATTCAAAACAAGCAAACAAACAATTTGTTTACCTGTATTAAGCAATTACCATTGGGTAAGATAATAGAGCATATTTTCTTTAATACTGAAACACTGAAGGTAATTATACAATTTGCTCTACCAATAGAATTCAGGTATTCACTTTCACATGGCTTCCAACTTGGTAAATTTCTTGTCAAAGAAGAGTCTAGTCCAAAAACATCTCTGATATAAAAATTTTGAAATTCTTTCAAGACATATGCATTTTCTTTGTCATCATCACTATTTTCAGTTGTATCCAAAATGTCTTTATTCATAAAATCCTCAATGTCATTATCATCATGTAAAACTTCATCAATGTTCTTCACAATATTCCCATTGTAAGATGTCAATGGTTGTTGTTTTTTCTCCCATTTGTTGAACTATTAGTACTTGCCAATACACTTTTTGATTACTTTCCCCCACATCTCATTCAATGTAGCAGAAATTGGTATTCCATTTTATTCACAACCA